GGTCGGGGCGGGGCGGGGCTATCTCAGATATTTCGCACTCGTCAGATATTTCGCGCGACACCGGTAGCTTGACTGCCCTCGCGTTTTCGACCGTGCGTGCCTATGAAATCATAGATATAGCACCCACCTATATAGTACCTCCTGATAGTACGTTAGTACGCAGACACCCACGCGCCGAGTTTACACGCTCCTATCGGGAGCGGCTGTTGCTGACGTTTCTCTCTCGACGTCAGTCGAGTGCTCATGCAGCTGTGATAGCGGTACCGTGCGTTCCCAGGCGGCCGCTATACGTATATCCTAGCAACAGCTTGCTGGCCGAGCAGTGAGATCTACAGGGAGTCGCACGGAGGCGCACACATTTTTCTCTCTAACCAGGAACGCTATATAAGTAGAGGCTTGCAGTAAAGGCTTGCAGACTTGCCGCTGCTACTGTCGTTATGGCGTTGTTATCATCTGCTGCACGCCTCGCCGGACGAAACCTACGTAATGTCGCCCGCATGTCGTTGGTGGCGACGTCTCAGATCGTTGGCGGCGGGACAGTAAGGCCGACAACAGAGGCAGACTTGCCCGCTGTGGGAAAACTGTGGCAGGATCAGTTTGGGTTCGAGAATGGCATGGAAACGATGAAAATCATGATTGACTACTGCAAGGGCGGTACATTCGTTGGGTTGAACGAACAGGGAGACCACGTCGGTAAGATATGCGAACTTATAAACTTTGAAAGTAAACAGCAGCTCTGTTAAATAATTACAAGGTTATACATGATGTTTGTAGTGAAAGTACGTTATGCCCCTTGCTACATATACCGTATCAATTCATCAGTATTTTGTAGCGTTGAACAAATCCAAGTCAGAATTATAAAGCGAACAGTAGGATTGTCACAGGGAAAACGTTCCTTTATTTCGCACAGCACTCTGTCGTCGTAACCGGCCATGTTCTTTCTCCGCGTCCCCTTTTATACCCTTATATACCCTTTTATACCCTTTGTACCCTTTTATACCCTTTAATGTGGGCGTGCCCTTACCGTCGGGCGCGTCCCTTCTCGCGTCGCCGTCCGCTTCGGCCATCGCACCTATATTGGTTCGGCGCCGGACATTCCTATGACGATCGAGTGACCACCGGGTCTATCTCACGTCCGTTTGGCCTCTGACTGGCTGCCAAAATTACTTTTTAAATTGCCCTGGTTACTTTTATTCTGCATGCGTTGCTTCGTGGCTACTTATCTTAGCCCAGATTACTGCGTGCTCGCCTTCTGTATCTAATGTACCTCTAATCTATATCTAATGTATATCTAATGCCTTTCGTGGCGCCGTTGGACGCTTCTATAACACCGCGTCTCTCTAACTAATTTATCTACCCGCGTGCCATCAACGCTTGTGCTCTATATTCCTACATTTCTATATTAATTTCCCGCTCGAGTGATTTCTGCTTCATTACCTCCGCCAAGGGGTTGGCAGGAGGTTATGTTTTCACCGGTGTTTGTTTGACTGTTTGTTGGTTTGTGGGTTTGTGTACAGCCTAACTGAAAAAGTTATGGACATACAACTTTGACACGGATTGTCATAAAATTTTCAGGATAGGTCAGAAATGGAGTAACTTAGAATTGATTACATTTTGGTGGTGATCCGGATCCAATTAATTAATTAATTAATTAATTAAATTTTCAGGATAGGTCAGAAATGGAGTAACTTAGAATTGATTACATTTTGGTGGTGATCCGGATCCAATTAATTAATTAATTAATTAAATTTTCAGGCTAGGTCAGAAATGGGGTAACTTAGAATTTATTACATTTTGGTGGTCATCCCGATCCAATTAATGATTTAATTAATTAATTAATTAATTAAATTTTTCACTTAATTAATTAATTAATAATAAAAATTTTCACAGTGAGAGAATTCAGCTGCCTTGGCGGAGGTCTGTGCTCTCCGAGTGCTCTAGTTACAATTATTTCAATGTTCCAAGACGCGTGCTAATTCGTACGAGAACGATGAAGCATTTGAGATGAACACGCCCATGCGTAGGCCTAAGCACGTATTTATTTCACGCGCAGCTCGGCGAACAGGCTTTCGCTCTGCTCTCGTCTTAGCGCGCGAAGCAGCAGTTTACACAGGAGTTCACACAGGAGTTCATACAGGAGCCAAGTAAATACAGCGCGAGAGATGCGGCGGATACAGCTGTTCAGTCATGCGGAGCCACACCCGCTCGTGACAAATCTTGTTCACTTGAAAACGCTGTATATATTTTAACAAAGTGGATGCGAGCAAATATTGATCACATGCTGCGAATATAAGCGGCCATGGTGCGATGGCACGATGTACGTGGCATGCCGATGCATGCATGGGTTGCACCATAGTTGCACCAAGAGTGCATTATATAACCCTTGGTTGCACGTATCTACCGACTACTGATACAATAACATAAATCATAATTGTATCCCCCGCGACGAAGTCGGCGGGGATACTATGGTTTCATGTCTCCCCAGCAGCCGCCGCCGCCGCCGCCGCCGCCACCGCCGCTCGGTCCGCCGCAGAGAATTTTCCTTTCGCTCTATAACTCGACCCCTAATTGACCTAGCGTGACCAAACTTGGTATATTTACACATCTTGGGGAGAAGGTGTGCAGAGTACCAAAACCAGGTCACTGCGACCTTTATTTGACCTTTACCTTGACCTTGATCATATTTCCCTTCCGCTCTATAACTCGGCCCCTAATTGACCTAGCGCTACCAAAACCAGGTCACTGCGACCTTTATTTGACCTTTACCTTGACCTTGATCATATTTCCCTTCCGCTCTATAACTCGGCCCCTAATTGACTTAGCGTGTCCAAACTTTGTATACTTACACATCTTGGGGAGAACACGGGGGATACATGTAGTTGGCGACAACTGCCCTTTCTAGTTTTAATTGGCAGAGCGATACACCCTTTTTTGGGTTTAGATAAAATTAAAAAATTATTATGCGTTCGTATATAGTTTTACACTTCTTTACTTATTATTATTATTATTAATAGTCGTAATCATTACTATTATAACAATTAAAATGTCATTGGATATTTTACTTTGATGTGCACGTTTTATTCAGATCGACAAATCCACGAGACCTGCTCCATTTATTTAATCTATGAAATTGGTCTGTAGCAGTCTCGTCATCATCAGATTTACCGAGCTCGGACATCATTTAATAGTTTTCTTCCATCAGCCCGAAATTTCATTGCTTCGCCAACCAATGATCGGTGTTCGCCTCTATAGTTTATCGGTGTATGTAATTTTAGAACAATATATCTTTCTGCTTCTTTGTGTTGGTCCCGAAAATAGAGGTTTTTGCGCAATGTCTCACTTGTTCATCAAGCCGTGTCCTGTGAGTCTTAATTAGTCTGTCTTGACGTATAGTATTACTGACGCTAGTAGCTCACCATATCTTTGTTGGTTGTATGCTGCCTCCAAGATACCTTTAGAGCTCTCTAATTCAATTTAGTACAATAACAATCTAGTTCAATAGCATATTTTATAGCTTAGTGAAAACTAGCGTTATGCGTTATGTAATGTACTGCGATGTAGTATAGCGGAAACCCTAAAAAAATCCGTTAGAACATTATACACCTTTCCTACTCCGATCCTGGTTAAACGTTCGCCCTTTAATTGTTTCGAGCTACCTACTTACGAGCCCCCCCCTCAAATCTTAATTGTATCTAACAACCTACGAGCCCCCCACAAATCTCATCAGATATTGATTGGAGGTGTCTGAGACCCGGAACGCTTTAAACGGCTCAAAATATTCTGATACAGCGTTTGCTACTTAATTGCCACTAATTAAATTGCCATCGTAATTAGGGGGAGGAAATTCCCAATAGTCAGTGTTGATAATCAATTATTAAACGGCTCGAAATCTTGCTACTGGGTGTCTGCGTGCAGCAGCAGGGGTCAGTGACAAAGAGTCTATGTCCCCCAGGGTACTGCCGGAACGTACCCTGGGTACGGTCCGGTATACCGGAACGTACCCTGGTCACTATTTGATATGGTTAGGGTTAGGGTTAAGGTTAGGGTTAGGGTTCGGGTTCGGGTTAGGGAGTAGGCGTAGGCGACTCCCTAGACTCGTTAGTGGAGTAGACGGCCCAAGGATAGAGAACATGGGTCCCAATAAAACCAATGTGCCTAACCCTAATCATAACCCTAACCCTGGCCCTAACGGCCCAAGGATAGAGAACATGGGTCCCAATAAAACCAATGTGCCTAACCCTAACCATAACCCTAATCATAACCCTAACCTATTATATTGATATAATATTAATAATTATATTAATTTATTATATTTATATTGATGTAAATGACATTGGTTTTATTCATATTGGGATCCATGTTCTCTATCCTTGAACCGAGTAGACGAGGTACGGTCCGGCATATTAGACAGTACCAGGGTAACCGGACCGTACCCAGGGTACGTTCCGGCAGTACCCCGGGGGACATAGACCCTCTCAGCGTTACTAGAGCTATATTCCGCCGAACACTGGAACTGGAAGTGGAACAGTGTTCAATAAACACTTGCCTTGAACTTGCCTACCAAACGGGCATTTTGCCATATACATATTATTATTATTATATAACAATAGCCTCACACATAGTGCCATATATTGAACTGTTTCATTTTATAAAAGCTAGTTATTAGGGTTATACAAACGGTAAAGAAATAGAGCCCAACTTACCAAAAAAACCATTGTTGAATATTCCCGCGCGTTCATGCGGTAGTGAGCGACATCTAACGTGAATAGTATGATGCGATAAACGCAAACTTATCCCAAAATTATAATAAATATGAGATAACTATATTTCATATACATAGGTCCATAAAATTTAGAAAAATATTATTTGTTAATATACTAGTTAGCGACAATAATTATAGGTATATTTTTACTTTAATAATAATGTCTGAGTGAGGTATCGCCATCGTCAAGCGTTCTAGTAATGGTGTCCTAGTGAGGTTCTCCTGTTAACTCCTGATAGAATCAGAGATAAGATAATAATTAATAGATCTGATATGATCTTAACCTGATCTTATGATACGATCATGACACTATCCTAAGTAGGCTAAGTATACTATGATGAGGGGCATGCTACTACGGGCAGAGCCCATTACCCAGCCTATAATATCGTCAGCGTTTTTGAGAACTTTTACGCCACTCACAAACTTCGAGATAAAAACTCTCTTGCTCTCCCTGATATTAGAACAATAGCTCACGGCATGAAATTCTTTCAATACTATGGTACCCTGCTATGGAATCAACCACCCATCTCAAAATATAAAGTAGAGAGCATTTTCTCAAAGTAATTTACCACAAAATGGTCTATTCCAACGTCTCACTCAATATATCATCTATTTTATTATTGTAAAACGGGGAATCCCTCGAATGTCTATGTGCCCTCAACATACCGCTACTATACAACACGCGCGAACCCACTGTAGTCAGTATACAGCACACGGAACTTCGCGCCAGTCAAATTCTGTCTGTCTGTCCGATTTCTCTCCGCCGTTTCAGATAATCAGATACATGCAATCTTTCCTACTTCATCATTTGGAACGATCTAAATTGAATATGCGCAATAAATTTAAAGCCGCCTTATACAGTAGACACGCGTAATCTCATATTTCACATGACTGCATTGTGATATATTTCACTGTTCCGTACATGATGCTGCTGCCGGGTCTGGGTGTAATTATTTCCTGTCTATAGGTACGTAAGAGTAATTCTCATTGTCCAACTAAAGCATGTAGAACATAAAATGCGCTCACTCAACCTATAGCGTCACATGGAGACATAAACCCACTGCACGCACACGCACACGCACACGCACACGCACACGCACACGCACGCGCGCGAACGCATAGAAAGAAGCGGAGGAATAAAGATGGAAAGCTAGAGAGATATAGAGATAGATAGAGAGAACGTTATTCGGGGAAACAGCTACAGATTACCTTCTGTTTTTGGAGCCGCATCTATGAAACCTACCGATTTGTAAAATTTCATCGACCATATGTTACATCTTTCCACCCCAGGGCCTGTCTAAATTATACACATGGTACATCATCTGATAGACTTTCTTTTCTGACATGGTTGCTATTATCTCTGGTGAAAACATAGTTGCCTCGGTGTTTCTTAAACCACTGACACACATTCTTATCTAATGTATTCGTCTACTCACCCTCGCCATACTAAGAGTACGAAGGTATTGAAATAAACGCTTGTCACGCACACGATTTTTATATGAACCGGTGTAGCGCGAAATTTCTGACTTGCGAAATATCTGAGATAGCCCCGCCCCCCGCGCCTATGCGCACGCGCACTTCGCGTGCGTCCCGACCCGACTAATCACAGCTCGTCTTTGTGTGCGAAATTTCTGACCTGCGAAATATATGATACCTGCGAAATATATG